CATCCACTAACTGCGTGAAATTAAATTGCACGTATACACAAGGAAAAGAAAATTGTGGAAAAAGATATCTAAGAAATCCAACAAGGAAAATTATCGCAAAAGAATTGCAAAATAAATCAACTTATGTGTATCGTGCAGAAAAGGCACATATGCTAATGGAAGAGGGAGACCCAGAGCCTCCGCATTTATATAGTTCTATGGTTCTACGTAAAACAAAATCAGAAACAGCAATAACAGATTACGTAGATCCAGATGTTTTTAAAGCATTAGTGATTTTAAAATTTTCGTCATTACAGAATGTAATACATAATATTGGATTAGATTTTTTTTTATTCATTACTGGAGTAATCATCAACTTAATGTTTACAAAAAATACGCCATTGAAAACAAAAACAATTCGTGTATATTTGTTGATGCAACCGGTAGCATCGTTCAAAAATTATATAAGGCGGATGGATCAAAATCCAAACATATGTTTTTATATATTTGTGCTATCAATTGCAAAAGTGGACAATTTTCAATTTGCCAAATGATAATTGAAAGTCACAATGTTAATTCGATACATTTTTTTGGCAGAATGGGTACGTTCTGGTGCACCGATACCCAAAGAAGTGGTATGCGATTCCTCAAAAGCACTTTTAATTGCAATTATTCGCGCTTTTACCAATTATACTAATATAGAAGATTACGCGGCTCCATGTAGAAATTCCACTTTACCTAAATGCTATATTAGAATTGACGTCGCACATTTTATAAAATCATACTCTAACTTTTTTAAATCATTAAACAAAAGAGTAAAAACTTTTTATCTTCACGTACTTGGTCAATTAATACTTTGCAGAAGTGTCTCAAATGCTAAAGAAATAATTAAGTATATTTTTACAATAGCATTATCCGAAACCAATGGCAATTTGGAAAATGGCAATTCTACGCAATGTGATGAAGCAAGAATTAAACTAATAAACTTAATGACAACTAATGGATTGGAATTAGAAAACTTTGAAACCGATAATAGCACTAAAGACGAAATTGAAAGAAAACCGAATGAAATAGAGAATTTTATTAATCCGTTTGAAAATTCATGGACCATGTGGGGTAAAGAAATTTTAAGTGATGTTAAATCATTAATTATTTTAAATGAAGGCAATAGAATTAACCCACATTATTATCCTCAATTAGTCGAACGTCTAATGATTGATATTAGATCACTACCTCTTTGGACAAATGTTTATACAGATAAATTTGATTACGGTCGCATACCTGCTTCTAGTGCACCAGTCGAAAGTGAATTCAATAAATTAAAATCTTTATTGTTAAAAGATTGTCCACTGTTGCGTGTTGATTCCTTCGTTCAGAAGCATGTACATTTTTTACATGGAATTACAAAACTTATTGAAGCACAAAATAATGACAATATTGTATCTGTTCATACAAAAAACATACTTGATGTACCTATAACTTCCACGCCTCTTAAAGAACCTGACTTTAAGGTATTGTCTGATTCTAATAATTCATGTCCAGTATGTCAAAATAATGATCAACCAACAGGTGCACATACTTGTTTTTTATGTAAAAAACATGTACATGCATTGTCTGAATGCTCTGTACCGTTTGGAGATGCTGAAGAAGGTTACGGCCAACCTCGCATATGCATAATGTGTAAAAATATAGATAATATAAAAGACATTTTAGCAAGTCGTGAAATTGAGAATTGGCGTAAATTAGGAACAGCAAAATCAAGCAAAACTAATGCATTATACCTTGGCAACAATCAACATAAAATAATTGATTCTTTGACTTGTAAAAAAGCTATGAAAATACCTATTATAAAAAATAGCAATGATCTATCTTTAAGATCTTTAAAAATATGTAATGATAATTACACTATTGTTAATACATGCGCATTTGATAGCATCTTTCAAATATTACTTGCTGTAGGACACGATTCAGATAATATTCGAACGTACAAAATAGCAAAAACAAATTTGTTCTTTGAATTAATTGATCACACAATAAATAATGGTATTAGTTCCTACACATATAAATTGCGCGCGCAGATACTTTTGCCAATTTTCCAAATTTCCAATGTCAGTGATTGCAAATATGTAAATTGTGAGACAAATGTCGGTTATTTAGCTGACATTCTTTTCAAAGATATACCAAGCTTTCAAGAAACATCTCGTTGCAATTCTGGTTGCACCGTACGGCATAAAAAGTTTCCTGTAATCCAAATCGAGGAATCAAAAATCATGCAAGCTGATGATTTCGACGAAATAGTAAAACAAAGTATTTCTCTGGAAGGTGAACATCCTTGTTGTTCAAAATACTGCTCAGGATTTGAAAAAACAACATTATCTGAAACAGGCATGATTTGTATATATTATAATATTATATAAACTAGAAATTGTATTTTTCATTGTTATTATAATTAGTTATAAGAGCATTTACTTACATTTATTCAATTATTAAAAATATCTTTATAGCTCTTAATGCTCTATTACATACATCACATACATCACATTTGAACATATGACTTATAAACATAATTCGCTAGACGAAAATATCTAGCAGGTATTCTAAGACGTATACACTCTCCGAGATTTGTTTATGTCACATGTCCAAATAGGATTTTCAGGACTTTTTTATTACTAAAGAAGTAATTTTATATTTAAATGTATACGTGTATTTTATTTTACAGGAGATATTATCCTTTTTGAAATTTTTTCAAGAGATCTTAGTTTACACACTGAAATTAAGTTGGACGAAATCAATAAATCATTTAAAAATTCTTTAAATAAAATGGAATACAAATTACTCGGCGTTGTTATATATAAAAGACCCGTTTTAACAAGAGCTATACAAACAACAGGGCATTATACAGCATTGTGTCTGAGATTTGGGCGATAGATCGAGTATAATGATTTAGAAAAAAAAGAAAAAAATGTTAAAGAAAAAACCTATATCACACCTGCTTTATTAATTTATAGTGTTTAAGATTAAGAAATTATTATTCTAGAATTATATCATTTATTTAATAAAATACAATTATATTAACATAATTATCAGACATATTTAATTCCCCAACAACAAACTATGTAGTTTGTGCTTAACCTTACGTTTTATAGCACAAATTAATATAAACTCAATATTAATAATAGTCGCTTTTATTTTTCTTTATTTTTCTTGTGATCCTGCTAGCTTCATATTAAATTGACAAAACCACGAGTTTCTTCGAAGTGGGATGTGGTACAAAATTATTTTTTGTAGCACAAATTAGCACAAAATGAGCACTAATTATATCTTTTTTGATTTTTGATTTTTGATTTTTTTTTCTTGTGGTCCTGCTAGCTTCATATGAAGCTAGCAGCGCCACGAGTTTCTCCTAAATGGCATGTGGTACAAAAATATTTTTTGTAGCACAAATTAGCACAAAATCAGCACTAAATAGTTCAATAGGTTTTTTTCGATTCTGCCCATTTGGTCCTGCTAGCTTCACAGAGGTAATTAATTTCTTAGAGATGCGACTTTACTTATTATAGATCCCCTATAAGTAGCATTGTCCTATTTAAACAATAGTGACTGCTATTAATAATTTTGGGAATTTATTGATACACTCTTGGACTTGGATATGGAGAATATACGTATGAAAGGCTTTTTTTAACACATTTCGGAGCATTATGGCATCAGGACCTCGTTCCTCATGAAAACATGGATTAATTTTAACAAGAGATTTTACACTCCTAATTAACAATTAATCTTTTTATTACGATGTCAAAGGTATAATTTAATGCCGTCGCATATTAAACATTTAAAATTTAAGATCTTTTTCCGTAGTAAGAATATGAAATGTAGGTTTAATAACATTATTAAATATCAAGGTAAATTAATAAGATCGCTCGAATAATAATAACAAGGATAGAAAGAATATTCGCTGTGCGAGACTAATGCTTAGCCATTAGCTAAGTCGAGAAACAATTTCGAAATTAAGATTTGAATTTCTCTTTCCCCTTTCCCTCCTAAATTGATGAAGACGAGAAAAATATATCGGTCCGAAAAAGTCGGCTGATATTATTAAATATAATCAACAAAAGTTGTTAAAACTTGAGATCAAGGTTTTAAATTTGATTTAAAGTTTTTAAAATAAAAAATGAGAGGTGTTGAGGATTGTTTACTAAATTGTTTACCAAATGACGTCGTTATACGGTTTTTCGAACTTAGTAAACAAAGACTTCTTAATTTTAATCGCACAAAAAAAATAATGCAATTAATAAGTTTCATCTATTGAAACAAAAATGTGAATTTGATCCGTTTAAGAACATTGATATATGTTGCGTACGCGCGGCATGAACCGTGGTCCGACATGAAGCTGCGACGAACGAGCATGCTCGGCCTTTTTAGGGCCGCGTCTCGCGCGCCGCCTCTCAGATCCTTCACCTTTTTTTTATTGGAAAGAAATTATAGGAATCTCATGAGAGATGTGATGGATGGACAATAGGATGATTATTGAGTGGACTGTATCTTAATAGGGTGATCGCGCACCCATGTGTGCGCTGAAATTGATGATTTACGCAGGAGGCCGAATTGAAAAGGAGTCTTGAGTTTGATGAACAAAAACAGATCAATTTATTATATCACACGTCAGAAAGTCACCTGGACTTGACACAAACAAACCAAAGAAAGAAAGAAACTCAATATGAGAATCGAAAGCGTTTGCTGTACGCGCAGCAAATTTACATTTTACAATTGATCACTTATCGAGCGCCTGAGTGTGTATCAAGCGTCGTACAAAACAATTATTCGTTTCGAAGCTCGCGATCACACAAAAGGAAACTGTTTGTTCGATATCGACACCAATGTCTTTTGTCGCAAGAAAAAACAATGTCCTATTTGAAAGTCACGATCGCGAATCGTACAATAACAAATTTGTCCTCTTGTAGACGACCGTTATAATTTATCGAAAACGCGCACATATCAAGAGACACGGTAGTGTCTCGCGACCAGTTAGGGCCTGAGCAGAATGGCTGACTTATAACCTTAAAACACTGTTTTATGCCCTAAGTCTTTGTCTTAGGTAACGCACAATACTGTGTTAATGTTTCCTGTCTTGTGTAGTATACGCGACGTTTTAAGGAATAAACGTAAAACGTATGTATATGTATAAACACAAATAACAATTCTATTATACAATTAATAATGAATATTTTATAAATAGTTATGACATAATACATTTTAAACTTATAAATATGTAATAATAATATTTCATATTCGAAATATATTTCAATAACTGTGAATATAACCTAACTTTTTTGTTCAAAGAAATTTATCTAATGTACTTATAAATAAAATGTTCTATTAAATTAAATATTATTTGATTTAATAGTATTATATATGTTTAAAAATCTTGTTAATTATTAAATTTGTATAATATTTAATTTAATTATTTTACAGAAAACAATTTTAATTTCAGGTATATTAAAATAATGTATAGAAATAAGCAATTTTTATTGCTTGTTTTACAATGGATGCTTTTGTATAAATTATTAAAACGAAAAAAAAAACAAATTAGATGGTATAAAAGAAGATGGTACGTGCGACCAATAAACCAACTGAGATACAAATACGGAGATTATGAGACACTTTACCAAGAATTAAAAAATGATACATATTTATTTTTTCGTTATACGAGAATGAATTTATGTTTATTTAACAAATTACTTCAATTAACTGAACCTCATTTAACAAAAAATAGCTATCGAGCATTTCCTGCAGAACAGAGATTGATAATAGTATTAAGGTAATTATAAGTAATTCTTTTTTTTATTATTTTTTTTTTCAAAATAATTATATCTTGTAGAAATAACAATAAAAAAGAAATTTTATTAAAGTAACAAAGACAGATTCTGATAGACTAAAACAGGTATTCTAGACTAATATAAATGTTGAATAATATATTAAATAGTATTAATAGTATTTTATTTTTGTCAGATATACAAAAATTGCCTAAAATAATTATTACTCGAAACATGCTTTAATAGAGAATGAGAGAGAGAGAGAGAGAAATGGAAAATTAATAATCTTTTTATAATAAATAATATTAATAACATAGATATTTTAATAAAATGTATTTCAGATATCTTGCCACTGGAGATCTTCCTTTGTCTATCGCTCTATCATTTCGAATTGGTGAATCAACAATGCGTATGTTAATTAAAGAAGTATGTCAGATATTAATAAATGTATTACAACCACTGTATCTATCACAACCAAATGAAGAAGAATGGAAGTCGTATGCTGAAGGATTTTGGAAGAGGTGGAATGTGCCAAATTGCATAGGGCAGTAGACGGAAAACACATTACCTTGCAATGTCCCCCTAATTCGGGAAGTCTTTTTATAATTACAAAAAATATTATAGTATTGTTTTGATGGCAGTGGCAAACCACGTATATAGATTTACGTTAGTTGATGTTGGTGCATACGGTGGTAACAGCGATGGCGGAATTTTTAACGATTCATTAATTGGGGAAAATTTAAAAAATGAAAACTTAAATCTACCAAAGGAAACATTCAAATTACCTGGAAGTCAAATCTGTACACCAACTTTTTATTGGCAGACGATGCTTTTGCATTAAATACGAGAATTATGAAGCCATATACCGGAAGAAATTTAAATGAAGAACAAAAAATATGCAATTATAGATTTTCTCGAGCTAGGCGAACAGTCGAAAGCGCCTTTGGAATATTTTCTAATAGATGGAGAATATTTCGACAATCCATTTGTATGCTGCCAAAAACAGCCGATTTGATAACAACAGCATCGCTCTGCTTACATAATTTTGTAATGGTTGAAGAAGAACGCTGTAAACTAAAGTTATACAGCACAACTGAATTTCTTGAAAACGATAGAAATAATCAGGTAAAATAAACATTAAAATATTTTTATTCTGCAGATAATATATATATATATATATATATATATATATATAAATTAAGTTTATATATATATATATATATATATATATAACTTAATTTTGTGTTTAAACTTTTGATAAATTAAAAAAATTTTAATATTAATAATTAATATAATAAAATAATTAAATAAATGCAGATACATTATGTGTATATATATTGTTATTAAAATATTAATTACTGTATATTTTTAAATTTAATTAACCATACTATTTTTATTTATAAAGGATATGCAGTGGTTGTCTTTATCGGAAAACCTATGTTATAATGAACCCGTATCTTCTGTTTCGAAACAAAGAGACACATTGTGTAAATATTTCATATCACCTGAAGGAGAAGTACCGTGGCAATACGATTACGTGCGAAGAGGTACATATGGTGAAAATATTTAATAATATAAAAATAATGGTTTCTATACACATACATTTAATTTTCGGTTATTTATTTAATCTTATTTTTTCTAATAAAATGTTAGTATAAAAAAAAATGTGTTCAAGAATTATATAGCTTGATATTTTTTAGTAGCTTTTTGACAACATAATTTCTAAACTGAGCTCTACTTAAGTAAAAAAATGAATAAGATAAAGTTGGAATCTTTATATAGTTCTTGTGTTATATATAATTAGAATTTGACAATAATGCCGTACCGATCTTGCATATTGTTATATGTAAAGTTTATATACCGATTATCTCCTTACTGCTAGATCAATTAATATTAATTTCTACAACCTAATTAACATTATTTTCTGAAAGTTTATACATTGCAGTAATTAAGAAAAGTTTTCTTAATAGTGAATTGTCATTACAAGCAAAATATTAATGCGCATAGTATTACTTATATTTAATAATTATTTTTTTATTTATTAATGAAAGTCATTTATATATTTTGTTTTATTATTTGTCTTTAGTCATACGGCATAATGTTTCAACTATATTGTTACAATTTTACAATAAAGCTTTAAAGTTGATCTAAGTTGATGTGTATCTAGTAATAAAGATCTATGTAAATAACAACAAATACCACAAATCGAATTTTTTTATATAATAATTATATAATTAGCAAGATATACATTACAAATGTATACAAATGAAGCAATTAAATAATAAACATAGTTCATAAGGAAAGTGCTTTAGAACTATTAATGCACATACAAATTAATAAGTAAATAAAAATAATAAAATCATAACGTCTCACTTTTAAAAAACAAAATAGTACATATATTAAAAACATTATTTTTCTTAAATTACCTTTTAAGATCTTATATCACATGTAACAGTTTTAATAATATCACATATATAGTATAGTATAGTTAATATAATAATTGAAGATCACATATCAGATCATCTATCACATATCTATCCATCTATCTAAGATCACCTATCACATAAATAAAAAATCTTAAACAAAAATATTGCTTTGCGTATTAAATAATAAAATTAAATTAGATTTAAAAAACAATGTAACTGAAAATATTATTTTAAACTTAAAATTTTACTTAAAAGAAACAGTCTTTTTTATAATATCACATATAGTAATGTATCACATATTGTAAAAAAAAATACTTTACTAATAAAAAATAAAAATAATTTATGAAAAAAATAAAAATCATTAAAAACAAAAATATTACATTTGCTTTATATTGGAGAAAATAAAGCATCTGTTATCATTTTCTTTCTTATATTTTTCTCAGATTGTGGAAGATTTGTCAAGTGAGCAACAATAAATTGTGTAAATGCTTCATCTTCATTATTGTTTTCACGTTTGTTATCTAAAACATTGATGATTTTCTGGCTAACCGATGTAAATATATTTCTAATTCCTTTGTTTCATCGACTTTACTTTTTTTAGATTTAGGTTTTGTATGTAATACATATAATTGTGAATCTTTGTCAATGTTGCGTTTATGTGTTACATGTGCTTCAAGAGTATCTTCTAAAATATTTTCTTTATTTTCACCATTAAAATTATTATCTTCTGTTTCGTGCATAGAATGACTTGATTTTCTTTGGTATCAAATACTTCATTCGAACTAGATTGTGTGGAATTTCTGTTGATAGTTCTAAAGATGATGTAGATGTTGAAGTTTTATTTGCTTTTATATTACTGCATGTTCTGAAAATATAAGAATATATAAGTATATATACATATTATACAATTAAAATGTGGATTTTCAAGCAATTATCATTATAAACCTTCGTCTCTTGATATAATTGTCAAGAAAAGATAATTGCGTATAAATGTGAAGGGTTTATGAGTTGAAGCACCACTTCCACTCTTATATTGACTATCTATTATTCGTTTCTCACGATTATATTGATTTCTAAGAGATGTGCATCTAGTTTGACAATAATCAGGTGTATAAAAGTTGCCTGTAAAAATGTTGAGATTTTATCATTATAATTAGCATAATATATTAGTAATAAGACATAATAAGAATATTAATAAAAAATATTTGATATTTACCATAATTTTTATTTTGCATTATTTTAGAAATTTCTTTCCAAGCATTATCTTTAATTATTATATTTTTAAAATCTTTGTGTCCTTTATTGTACAGAAATGGACGTTCTCTATATAATTCAATTAGAAAAGCATCACCATCTTTTTCTTCTATAGAAATATTATTTTCATTTTCATTTGACACTTTATTGTCTGTATAATATGTATTATTAGGTTCACAATAGTGATGATCTTCATTTTAACTAAAAGGAATTAATAAAAGGATATAGATAACATTAGATAATATATGTATACATACATATAGATTTTGTTAAATGTTATACAAAAATAATTAACAAGATTTTTAAACATATATAATACTATTAAATCAAATAATATTTAATTTAATAGAACATTTTATTTATAAGTACATTAGATAAATTTCTTTGAACAAAAAAAGTTAGGTTATATTCACAGTTATTGAAATATATTTCGAATATGAAATATTATTATTACATATTTATAAGTTTAAATGTATTATGTCATAACTATTTATAAAATATTCATTATTAATTGTATAATAGAATTGTTATTTGTGTTTATACATATACATACGTTTACGTTTATTCCTTAAAACGTCGCGTATACTACACAAGACAGGAAACATTAACACAGTATTGTGCGTTACCTAAGACAAAGACTTAGGGCATAAAACAGTGTTTTAAGGTTTATAAGTCAGCCATTCTGCTCAGGCCCTTAAGGGCGTAGCGGAGACATCGTGTATCTTAAAGCGAGTCGGACATTTGAGTCTTTATAATATTTCGAATCCTCAATAATGGCTGAAGCAATCGAGTTTATACTAGACTTAATCGATAGATTGAGTTCAAATTATATAATAAAGTGTCTTTATTTCTGCTCTACGTGATTTGTAAGCAGAGATATATAAATGCAAAGTCGAAATATGAAAAATTTCTATTAAGAAACGTCCCCGTCATCATTATCATCATCGACCACGCATACATAGTAGTATCGAGTTACACGTATTCACACGTATACAACACATGCGCACACATATATCACACGTACACAACACATGCAAGATGCATGTAGTGGTAATTTTGTCCATCTCGCACGTTTTACAACAGATGGCGATAGTGGCGCTCCGCCATATCGGCAGCGTGCGGGTTATGTTGGCTAACTCTCTCTCTCTCTTCTCTCTCTCTCTCTCTCTCTCTCTCTCTCTTTCTTTCTCACACAACACACTCTCTCATTCTCACTCACTCACTCACTGTTCGTCTTGTGTACTTATTTAGTACATTCATGATTAAACATCTATATGCATTAATGTGAATTTACTTACAATTAGTTTACTTGAAATATTCAATCTCTAAAGTGTTTATCTTATAAGATAAACAAAAAAATCTGAGTAAATAATAAAAAAAAAAAACAAAGGATTATTATTGTCATAATTTTTTATCAATTAAGTACTCTCAACTATCCAATAATTAAATAAATACGTACAAATGTGCGCGCGTGTACACACATACACATATTGATATTAAAGAGATTGAAGGAGAGGAAGGAGAAGATAAAATTTAAATATTCACATATATTTTCAAATATTATATATGAATTTATAGTTTACATATCTAATTAATAATGAATTTCTAATTATATTAAACATATCAAAATATAGACATAAAAAATTTTATTAAACATAAACTTAAAAAAATTAATTAATTAAACATATTCCAAATTTAGAAAAAATAAACTTTATTTATATATGCAACAGCTTTTTAAACTAAATTTTTAAATTCTATTTTATATTAGACAATTATCTCAATCAACATCTACGTCCACATTAGCTGCACTGCAGACTACCTCTACAGCCACATTATCTGCTCCGCGGATAGCGTTATGCAAATTTACGATACATTACATGTACTTACTTACTTGCCTTTACTGTACCAACTCTTGTTCTTTCCACGTAATTATGTTTTTACAGTTATCGTTTGCTGTATATCTTCCAGCAAACTTTATTTTGTGTGAAGTGTATTTAATTAATTAAATCTCTGCGAAAGATTGAGAAGATGAAGGGATAATTCAAACTATGAAGACATGGTTACATGGAAAGACAAGAGTTGATACAATAATAAAGACATACATGTATTTGTATCCTGCTGGCATAAGGTTATAGAAGTTGATTGAGATTGAAAAATAATAATGAAAATAATAAAAAAAATAAAGACACATGTATTTGTATCGTGCTGGCATAAAGTTATAAAAGTTGATTGAGATTGAAAAATAATAATAAAAATAATTAAAAAAAGGAAATATTCAATCATCATTAAAAGCATATTTGAAATCTGTATAAAAAAATTTTAGTTAAAAAAACTGGGAGCGCTGCTAAATAATATTCTAACAATATTAAAATTAAATTGTTACTTTTAAACTCATTACAGTTAAATATTTTTTGTGTTTAAATTAATTAATGTTACTTTAAGTGCATTGTAATTTTGAAACTTAGCAGCGCGCCCAGTTTTTTTAACTAAAATTTTTTTATTTCTTTTTCACATGGCGCATGGACTTGGCATCTTGTTTATCTTTTTTTTAAAGATAAGTTTTTTTATGGTACGATTCTACATTTGCAAATTTAAATTTTACTGATTCATTATACGACTCTATATATGTCTGCAACTGCACTTCAATTTTCCACTGGTACAAGTTTCTACTTTTACTGGCGCAATTTTTTTTTTATTTCATTACTTTTGTTACGATTGTACATGGGTTTATAATCGATAATTTTTCATACAATTCTATTGTACATGGGTTTGCAATGTAGGATTCTACATAAGTTTGCAATGGATAATTTTTAATACAATTCTACATGGTTTGCAATGGTTAATTTTTCATAGGATTCTACATGAGTTTGCAATGGTTAATTTTTCATAGGATTCTACATAGGTTTGCAATGGGTACGATTCTACATGGGTTTGCAATGGTTAATTTTGCCTAGGATTCTACAGGGTTTGCAATGATTAATTTTTCATAGGATTCTACATGGGTTTGCAATAGGATTGGATTCTACATGGATTTGCAATGGATAATTTTTGTTAATGGCGTGCCCTTAACTGGTCGCCTTTTTTACCTTTTTTTATATGATTTAACGCGATTCAATTTAAGTCTTAAATTATCTTGTTCACGATCACTTCTCACAACGAAAATTTAACTCACAAGATTAACGCAGGATTACAATCGCTCGACGACAATAATGCAAGCGATCCTGGCCAAATCTTTGAGTCGAGCCGCTTGCACGTGCACACCGCGTGAAAGATTTTGGAAATCGAAAACACTGTGACGACACTCTGAGAGAGGGAGAGAAAGGGAGAGAGAGAGAAATGCACGACATGCATTCATATGCAAGTGACTATCACACAGAATCCTCCAGAAGGATTCGAATATCGCAGGAGTCGATCACGTGTACGCAGCGTGCACAATACAACGGCGAATTCGTCGCGACGGCGTGCTACGACAATTGTGAGAGAGAGAGCGAGAGGGAGAGAGAGAGAGAGAAAGAGAGAGAGAGAGAGAATGCACGACATGCATTCACCTGTACGTGATTATCGCAATAAATCCTCCAGCAGGATCCGAATACTCGTAATATTCGATCACGTGCACGTAGTGTGCACGAGACAATGGCGAATTCATCGCGAGAACGTGTATGTTGCGTCGCGAACGAGATCCGATTACCCGTTAACTTTTCACTCTCGATATGTCACAAAATACCGCGCAAATCTGTTCGTATTTGTCGCGATAATACATTCACGCACTTATTACACCGTAACGCGAATTATTAGTCTGAATTGCGACCAAAGCCGGCTCTCTCTCCACGACGACTGTCTCCGACGGAATGCTGCCCTCATCGATCACGCTATCGACCGCGTGATCGCGAGGGACACCCGCGGAACGCGCTAATTGGCCGAAAATTTGCTTCCGCGGCGCTTTCCGCGGTGCGTGCCGCGAGGTGCTGCCGTGTTAGGCCCGCGGCAATTGCCTTTACCTAAATTCTCGACTGACCCGTGAATTTTCGTTGATCGAGCGCGGCGAATTTTTCTCAATCCTAAACAATATATATATATATAATAATTCCAAATGATTAATTAATATTAGCAATAAAGAACTTCCGGACAGAATTACGAAATTTTGAGTTTGGGTCAAAATTTTGCTTTGCCTTTACAGCAATCGAATAATAAGATCGACTTAAATACACGTTGATGTTATAAAGAATTTTGAGGCTAATGTCCTAAAAATACCTAGTGCTGATAGATCTGATGCTAGAAATTCTATTGTTGATTCTCTTAATAAATTTATTCGTAATAATAAACATATTAATTACATAGATAGATTTTTCTGACGAGTTTCCAATGTGCGAAAGATTCCATTTCTAAAAAAGGTGTAACGGCGTAGCCGTTACTAACGCCTCGCGGGCCGATCATCCGCCCGCCACGTGAGGCTCTGGCGCTAAGGCGCCGAAACGCCATACACGGGCCGCCCCACTCCGGGAGCGCCCCACTACGGGGCCGGCGCGTTTACTTCCGCCGTAGACTTGACGCGGAGTGGGGGGACCGCCGGCCGGGTATATAAGCCGGCTCGACGGATGAGCCGGCACCAGTCTCGTTCCAGACCTCCTAAGCCAGGCAACGGGCTTCTCGTTGTTAGGTCGGGCTTCTCGGTTTCTGGCTCCTTCCTTTCGTATCGGGCAACGTGGTTTCTCGTTGTTACGCCGGGTTTCCCGGTTTCCGGTCTCCTCCTGTTACACGCGGGCGACGGGCTTTCGTCGTACGTCGGATTTCCCGGGTTTCCGGTTCTTCCTGTTACACGCCGGGCGACGGGTTCTCGTCGTTATGCGGGTTTCCCGGTTTCCGGACACCGATATAGGCTATATGCTTCAATACGTTGGCTCTCTAGATCTCCGTATATCGGGTGACCTGTAAGTCCCTTCCGGACACCGCTATAGGCTATACGCCTCCGTACTCTGTAAATATACCGGGTAACCGACCAGTTTTCTCTGTTAAGGCCTTCCGCCAACGAACCCTTCGTTCGTCG